GAGCTGACTTTCCTGCCTTTGTGCCCATTCAGCTTGTTCTCACCACTGTCATACTTACCACAGCATTTGATTTGTTGGTTTCCCTGCTCCCCTGAAGGCAAAGACTTATACACCAGGCCCTGCCTCTGCATGCCTAGCACCTCCTGGCACATGGTGAGTACCAACTGGGTCCATGTTAGAATGGACACGGCACTGTTAGTACTTAGGATATGTGGAAAAGGAATAAAACCTCACTTCAAGTGCCCTGGAAAGGCTTCCTAGGGGAGGGATATTTGAGCCAAGGCCAGGTAGCTACTGGATTTGGTGATTTCCAAGTCCTGATGTACCTCTGGAGAGCTTGGCCTTCTCCCCAAAGGACTAAAGAGAAGGTTTTGAGATGAGCCCTATTAACAGTTGGTACTTTTCAATTGTAGTCTTAGGACCCACAGGGAACACTATGTTTTTGCAAAACCACTGCTAGGAATTTCATAGCGGAGCCTAATTCATTGCACTCCTTTGGAGCTGGTGTGGAGAGAAATGACCCGCCCACATGGGCCTAAAGAACAGCGCGTATCTGGGGACATGGTGTGCACACGGGCCATACATTGGGCCAACAGCTCTGAGACCTGACCAGGAAGATGATGTTCCAGCGCCCAACTTTTAAAGTCACAATGTTCTGGCCATTGCATAGTTCCCTGTGTTCCCCAGTGTCTCTAAGATTCCTTTTTCTTTTTCCTTCCCTCTCTCTCTCTCTTTCTGTCTGTCTCTCTCTCTCTCTCTCTCTCTCTCTCTCTCTTTCTTTCATTTTTGAGACAGGGCCTCACCATGTAGTTAGGATGGCCTTGAACTCGAGGCAGTTTTCCTGTCCCAGCTTTCCGTGTGTGGGATTATAAGGGTGTGCTACCACAACCGGCATCCAAGTATTTTAATTTCCTACTCAGAACACTTTCCGAAAAACTCGGTGGCCTAACCCATGACTGCCAACAAAGGATTAAAACCCCAAAGAACCTAATTTAAAAAGCCACTGTCAAAATCTACCATGGTTGGTTAGTAAGAAAAAAGAATACCATATTTTATCATTTAAAAAGTAAGAAGCACGCGATTAAGAGAAAGGGCATTACTGCATTTTGCTAGCTTGATGAAAGCCACCTGCTGGTCTTTTTACTTTTAATATTTCGTCTTGCTTTGTGAAACATTGTCACAGTCCAACCTCAGAGCAGGATTGGTGTCTTGAACCCCTCACTGGGCTGTCAGCCTGTTTCGGTGAGGCTAAAGCATTGAACTATGGCTTATCCAGCATGAAGACAAGGCAGGAGTCCACGCTGGAGTTGGCTTAGGTGAGTGTGGCTTTTGATAGAGGGTTACATGTGTGTTTGGGTTGCCATGCTGGGTAAGTGAATAATGAAATTTGTATGAGTTGAGCTCACACATTGAAGTTATTGAGCAACTTACATGCAAGGCCATGACCTAGATTCCCAGCCGAGAGACCCACGTGGCAAGACTTGGGCTAGGGGAGCCGAGGACAGTTCACATCTGCTCATCTGCTTATGTAACCCTGCTTCCCAGATACCCAAGCCAAGAAAACACACAAGCCAGCCCAGCAGGACTGAGGGCTTGTAGTAGCACACGCCATGTGCTGCACAGTAAGGTTGCCTTGGCTAGCCTGAGAACTGTCACGAAGCCCTCTGCCCTTTGCGCCCTCCTATGGGTCTCCCTGGAGCCCCAGGCAATGACTTTGAGACCTGGTAGCATGAGTCTAAACAGTGGTGATTCTTCTCTTCCTGGAATGTGAGCTCTGAATTTTTTCACTTGGAGGTGCAGGGCCCTCTGGGAGGCCTCCTGGTTGGCTCTGAACCCAAGAAGCATTCAACTCCAGATCTGGTGCTGTTGTATGCCCTTCAGTCTCAGTGATGTGAGCTGCAGGATTCCTGGGGTTGTGGAGGCTGCCATCAGAAAATGGGAACAGACAGTGGCAAAGATGGACATCGAGGAAAGGGGCTAAGAAGCATAAATAGTAGGGGTACCTGGGTGGGTGTGGAGTTTGGTGATCAGGTCTGCTTTCTGCCTCTCCCATCCCAGGTATTCATTTCCTGTCTTCTTAATCATTCATATCCTCTCAGGGTTAGGGGACAGTTTTCAGGAGATCTTGTTCAGGTCCTTGTTCTCTTTCTGGTTTCCTGCTATCTGTGAGCATGCCAGGGCTTTGTGAAACCTTAGAGTTCATTCAGTTGAATCCCCGCAGTTTGGAAGTGAGGAAACTGGTATCCTGAGAATGGAGGTACTTGTCCAAGGACCACCCAGCAAGTCACTGGTACGGGTGGACTAGGACCCAGACATACCTGCTCTTGCATGGGACTCTTTACCGCAGGACCGCTTTTCTACAGCCTGTATGTGGAAGACACTTGGATGCTTTCCAGCCTGCAGGTGTCTGCTCTGGGGAAGATAGCAGGCCACGTGTGAATGCCAGGGTTCTGGGCTGGTTTCAGAAGGTATGAGTGAGTCTTAGGGTAACAGTCCAGATGCTTCTTGGGTTTCCGAAAATGAGTTATGTTTAGTAATGTCTTTAGAACAAAAGAGGGGCTGTTTTGCAGATGCTGAGGGGCCCTCTGAAGTGAGAGGGGTCTAGTGATAGATCTCATGAGTTCATTCTATCAAGGGCCCTCTAGAGGTTTTTGCCAGGGTGGGAAATTAAACAGCCTAGGCCAGACGGACCTTGTGGGAAAGGATGGAAATGATGGGAATCCTTAAGGACTCTTACTGGCCTGAAAGCCTCAAGCCTGTGAAAATGAGCCATCCAGCTCCCTATTGCCCAGTTGGCCTAGTTATAGTCGCCTATGCCAGTGGTGATGAATCTCCAGCATGGTGCTGCAGTAGTCTGCAGTAGGACAGCTCTACAGGATTTGCCATTGCTGACCAGGCCTTACTAATCATCCACCTTAGTCCTTCCCAAGATTGGCTGAGTTGGACTGTCTAGGGGAGGGGCCTGGTACTCTATATTCATTTCCTTAGGAGATTCTGATGATAGGTTTGGGGAAAACTGGTCCAGGGTAACCACTGACTTAGTCATGTATCACAGCGCCTGCTCCCTTGAGGGCATCCTGGGAGGCCGGAACTGAGTCAGCAGAGCAATCCCATGGGAGACTCATCTTCCAGGCCTCTGAGAGGCAGGTCTTGACTAGGGAGGAAGTAGGACTTTTGCAGTTTGAGGATCTTCTTTGCCTTAGAGGTATGCTGCTGGAATATTGTGATAATGAAAATAAAAGGGCGAAACCCCGTTGAGACTTCTCAATATGAAAGTTAGCAGGTTTAAGGAGAGAAGGAAGGGCAAAGGAAGGCAAAGGCAGATGGACATAGGCAACACAGGCATGGTTCATAGGGGTGGAGACAGACAGGAGGCTCACTGGAGGGCCTTGTTGCCTAGCTGAGGGATTTGGCCTTACCTTGTGCAAGACCAAACAGCCTTGAGCCATGGGCGGTTTTAGTGGGAATGATCAAAATTGTGTCTCGGAAGAAATGAAGAGAACAATCCTGTGGCATGGAACTGTGCTGGTGGCAGGAAAGGTTGTGTGGAGCGAAGATTGTTCTGGGGAAGGGCAGGGAGGGGGCACTGCTGTTAGAAAGGAGAAGGCAAGTTTCCTTTTCTCAGGCTATTTTGTTTCAGGAGGGTGAGTGATCCCTGGGCACATGGAGTGCGTGGGAAGCCGTGTGCTTTTCTCAGTAGGACAGACTGAGGTCACCAGTCTGGGTCTGGGCAGGGGTGGGTGGATTTTACCACGGTGTTCCAGGTGAGCTGTGATCTGAGCTCGAGGCTAGCCTGCCCACTTGTTCTGTAGGTTTCTTTGTTCTAATGGCTGGTTTGCTTCACAGGTGAATCTGGCTACACTATAGTAACAGTTCCCAAAATGTATTCACTGACAAAATGATTCTGTGACCAAGTAAGTGTGGGAAATAGTTCACAAAATGAAAGGGGTTCCCCGACTGTACTGTTCCTCAAAGCCTTTGGTGTGTGTTATGCTTTTGCACAAACAGGATTTAGCATGCAGACTTCCCTTACTGATTTGACCAGGGTTATGTTTTTCCACCAGCATCTTTCTGGATCTGATGTTTCTGGGAACCCATTTTGGGAAAGTCTGAAGATCAGGGAGTACTGTGAACGTAGATTTAAGTCTTGCTTCTGTCTCTGATTCCCTTTGTACGCTGCATGATTCCATGTATGCCACATGCCCTGTGAGGGACTTTGACTTTCCCCTTTTCTCTGTACCCTAACCTGCTGCTTCCTCAGTGTCTACCACCTCATCAATTCTTCTGAACCAGGAGTTCTCTGACTTAGTCTCTGATCTGACTCCATGTTCTTCTAGGCCAGAAACTTTGAATTCACCCCAGACCTTTCTGTATCCCCTTGGTTACTGTTACTCCTGTAGTTAGTAAGCATTCTTTGATGTTCTTCCCTGCAATTTCTTTTCTTTCTCCTATAGTGTCTGTGGCCTCCATCCCACCCCATTGAGTTAGGTTCACATCAGGTCTGTTACTCTCCACTAAATTCTAATTTGATGCTGATTTTCTCCCCACTGACCTACACACACACCTTTTAGTAGCATAGCTTCGGTCCTTTGTCCAAGACCACAGTTGACAGGTGGCAGAGATCAATCTCTGTAAGGATTTCTGAGAAAGTCTTTTCACATTTCGGATCACTCATCCTTACCACAGCCCATCAGGAGGACTGAGCAGGAATTATTTCTGTTTTACAGTAGAGTCAGCCTGGGGAGGGGGTCTTGGGCAGGGCAACCAACCACCTCGGTTTGCCTACCACTGAAGGATTTCCTGCAATGCAAGATTCTTCAGCACCCAGGGGTTTCCTGAGATGGTCACCCTGCTGCTAGACAGGGTGAGCATCCTTTCCATGCCCACGTGGCCTCCCAAAAGGAGATATCTCCTCTCCAGCTGTGGCTTGGTCACCTGGCATAGTCTGTGCAGTGTGTGGCCTGGGGCTTCCTAACTTCTTCTTTCCTCCACCTCTCCAGTTGGCCCCATGCTGATTGAATTTAACATTCCTGTGGATCTGGAGCTTTTGGCCAAGCAGAACCCAGAGATAAGGATGGGCGGCCGGTACACCCCCAAGGACTGCATCTCTCCTCACAAGGTGGCCATTATCATTCCATTCCGCAACCGGCAGGAGCACCTCAAGTATTGGCTGTATTACTTGCACCCGATTCTGCAGCGCCAGCAGTTGGACTATGGTATCTATGTTATCAACCAGGTGAGGTTTGGGAAGGTGGTGTGAAGGGGAGGGAGGGTATGTGCGTGCAAATATGCGTAGAGTGAGTGCCAAGGGAGACAGAGTGGGTGTTGAATGAGCAGCCAGCTCTTATTTAAACGGTGCCAGTGCTGTTCAATTAAACGCCAAGCAATGTGCTTGCTCATTGCTGTCAACTCTGTTAGTCAAAGGAACTTGCTGGTGTGTGTGTTTGATTTTTGGACGTGCTTTCCAGCAAAATTGAGAGGAAAAAGACAGCCCTAATTATCTCAAAATAAAGCACTGATTATTCCCTATTTTTGGTAGCTTTGGATTTTCCTTTGTAACTTAGAAAAATAAAACTGCTGTTTGGACATTAGAGTTTAAGACATCATCAAAATTTACCCAGTCACGGTGTTGTCCGAGGTGTGAAGTGTCTGGGAAAGTCTGATTCCAGGCCACCTGAGAGTCTTGGGGGTTTGGCAAGTCTAAGAAATGTTTCTCACTATATGTCTGACCCATGTGTGTTTTGATCTTTGACTAATGATGAAGACAGGTCAACTTCATCACCAAGTGTGAAGAATCAGATTGATCTAAGAGCGATTTCTATTGGAATAACTTCTTATTGTAGTCTGCTTGAGAAACGTTGTTTTTCCAAGAGTATAACTTTAGTAATTCAAGTTTACCCTCAAAGACTCATGCCCTTAGACTGTAGTACAGTGACATTTTTTGAAGAGACAGAGTGCTCATGTGTTCAAAGCCAAACCCTGGGTCTGCCTCAGGTGTAAGGTCATTGGCAGCTTACCATTTCCATCAGTGTTGACTGACTTTGTGCACCTTCCCCTGGACCACCAGGGAAACTGGGAACAACAGTTTGTCCATCCAGCATTGCAGAGAACTGCTGTGCGTGGAACTGAGTCAGTTATGAAAGGAGATTCTGGAGAAGCGCAAGTTCTCACATCTGCCTGTCCTGAGGCTTCCAACCCACTTTTGGCAAGTGGGACTTTCCCAGGCAACACTTTGTTAACAATCCCACATAGCAAGTGAACAGAGGCGTTGGTGGTATAAGTAGTTAGCATAACTGCCTTCCAAAGAGCATGTGATTGGGTGATGGCTGTGAAATGCTTTGAAAACTGAGAAGGAGAAAGAGCAGCAGCTTGGAAGAGCTAAGATATAAACTAGGCTCTAAAGTTTGGGGGAGAGATGGGCCTCTCATCCAGGACTGGTGAATGGGGACGTTAGGGAAGAAAGGAGCCTGAATGTTCTTGGAGATGGAAACGACCAGTGTTGAGGTAAGAAGGTACCAGAGGCCCTGGGATCAGGCATTGGAGCTGAGCCTGTCAGCCAGGGAAGGAGTGGATGCACCGTTACAAAGAAACCATGCTCAGTTAGGGAAGTAGCGGTGAGTCAGCGTGAGGCTGGTAGCCAGTCCAGGGTCCTGTGAACACTTGCAAGCAGGATAGTTATGCACCGTGGTTCACCTTGGAGAATACTGGAGAATGAAAGAACAAACAGGTAAAGATCCTGCAGAACGCAGGTCATTTCAATAAGTATTGGTTTAAGAAAAGCCTTATCACTGATAAACATTTGTCCAATGCCATTGAGCTTATGTAGATGATACATTCAGGAGCCTGTTGTTAAAACAATGGTACTGAGCACGTAGAAGAGGAAGCCACTCTCACCAGGACCCAGCAAAAATTACGAAGAACAGCCCATGCCAGCTGCATGTGATAGTTACTATACCGGGACCTGGATAATATATCGTAGGCCAAGCATTGTCACATATGATGCCCCCTTTCTCATCTGCCAGAGCAGAAGTTAACAGCTGTGCTCTGCTTGGCATACAGTTATTAAAATGTGTAGTAAAGGGGCTGAGGATTTAGCTCAGCAGCACGAGCACCTGCTTTGCAGGCGCGCAGTCGTGAGTTCGATCCCCACTATGAAAAACAAAAACAAACAAAAAAAATTGTGCTTGATAAAAGAAACTGAATTCCATTCTTCAGTAGAATCATCTGTAATCTCAGCAGTAGGAGACAGGGGACCACAAGCTCAAGCCCAGCTCATGTAATTTAGTGAGACCCTGACTAAAAATAAAGCAGGGGGCGAGGGGATGTAGCTAAGTGCCAAGGCCATGGGTTCATTCAGTGCTAGGGGATTATTGTGGGCAAAGGGCAGTGGCAGTGTGAGAGATGATACTGAAGTTGAGGTCAGGTAGTGAAGAAAGGCGGGACAGGTTAATTTACAGCTGTGTTGGATTTTGGTGAATATGAGACTTCCTTGTTTGTGAAACAACTACTGGGCAGTAAGATTTAGACAGCTTTCTATAATACAGTTTATCCAGATCTTCCCTGGGCTTAAAATAACGGAATTTTGGATCTCTCGTACTGGCTACACAATTCTACCTGCCCCAAATGTATACCCAAGGCGGCTTAGCCCAGTGGTACCACTGTGCTGGTGAACACTGGACTCCACTTGAGAGCTGTACCCCCAGCCCCCACTTTGAGATCAGAGCCTTAGAAAGCTAAAATAAGAGTGGCCTCTGAGACATCTTGTTTAGGGGTTCCTAGACACGTTTGAGGAAGCCTTGGTCATTCTCGCAGTGCCTTCAGTGAACTGGGGCACTGTGACCTGCTGCCGACGAGCTTCCTGGCTTCCTAACCAGCGAGCTGTTTCCCCAGACTCATCTCAAGGGATCAGTGTTTGGGGATCACACTTTGGGGCACTGCCTGAATTACCACCACCTTCCTTTTTACTTTCCTTTCTTTGGTGGTGCTGAGGATTAAACCAGGACCCTGTGCATGCAAGCAGAAAGAACCCTACCACTGAGACACATCCCCAGCTCTCGCCTCACTTTTTCATAGTGTACTAGGAACTCCATTTTCTCCCTCTAATCTCTCTTTTCTCACTTGCAACTCAGCATCTGAAATATTTTCTTTTTAGAACCTGGGAATGTAGGTCAGTGCTAGGTGCTTACCTGATATGGTGGGGCCCTGAGTTGGAGCCTGAGTTCCAGTTAATCAATTAGTCGAATACACACACATACACACACACACATATATACCCATTTTTTCCTAGTCTTGTATCATTTTCTTCTCCCTCTAACCTCTCTTCTCCTCTTCCTCCTCCTCCTTTTCATTTTGTATGACGTATTAAGTTTCTCTTCCCAAACTGATCTTACTCCTGTTCTAATCCTTCCCAGATGATCCTTTTGAAAAACAGAGTCAGAGTCCAGATAAGCAAGTCAGGAAGTAACTTGAAGTTTGTGTTATTTTTTTCAGTGAAGAATGTTACTTACTACCCAATGAAGTGGTTCCGGGACTTGAGCCTTGTGGGACATGGGGGATTGCCCCCGTGAGAGCACACCCATTTACAAATTAGGGATTTCCCGTCGTCTTCTCTACTGTACGGTTATGTTCTAGATGAGGAAGACGGAGATACTCCAAAACCTGGCTTTGACTTTTGCCCATTATTCATTCTGCAGAAAGACCTGGGCTGCTGAGCCTCCTGTCCAAACTTCTGTGCATTTTGACTCTTCACTGCCACTCCCTACCTGAGACTAAAGATGAAGATAGCAGTGACCTCTGAGGCTGAGATATCTGGTCCGGGGTACCAAACAGGTTATTCAGTAAAGGATCTTTTCCTGCCCCACTGAAGGTCATGGTCTCCCATTTAGAGCAGGTCTTAGTAGTCGTGTTTTTGAAGTGGGGACCGTGTCCCATCCCCATCTCCTTAGTTTCCCCTTCAGTGTTGGCCAGGTGTCAGGGGCTAGGCAGTGAAGGTTTCCGCTCTGTGTCATGGAGAGGGAACAGGTGCACAGAGGGAGAATGGCAGTAAAGAATCGCATGAGTAACTGACAGTAGAGCTGTGGCTCAGACCCAGCCCCTGACTCCCAGGCTCAGCGTCCTCTCCCTGTATCACCAGCTGCTCGCTTGGAGACCATTTAAGCCTCTGCTGGGGGTGTGTGTCAAAGTCTGGTCTCTAAGGCTTTGCGTGATCTCTATCCCTGGGTTGTACCCTGGATCTGCCACTTCCCAGTCAGTGACGCTGAGTGAGGGCCCCAAGCTCTTCAGACTTCACTTGCCCCTGAGGCAGAGAAGGGAGAAGGGTTAGTGTCTGCCTCAAGGGTGGAGAAGTACCTGCAAGTGATAAACCCTTAGTAAACAGTAGCAGTCACCACTGCTGTTTGCGCCTTTCCCCTCCACCCTCTGTTGTTCCTGCCTGGTACCATACTGACAAATTCTTCACTGCTTTTTCTGCCTTCTGCCTCACCCAGACTCAGTACCAGCATTGGTACTTCCCATTTGCTGTGGCATTCATGGCCCCAAGCATACTGAGTATTGGTGTGTGTCAGGTCACAAAGCTCAGAGGACTCGGGAACAAGTATCTTCAGAGGACGCTTGTTTCTCAAGCCACACACACACACACACACACACACATGAACTTCTGTGAGTTTTACGGCTTATTTCTGTCCACAGGAAGCTGTTCACTCACCTTGTTTGGTGTGTGATCCTCCAAACACATGAAAGCTATCTCAAAAATAGTGTGTTGGAGGGCAGGGAGTGGGCCTCTACCTTAAGACAGAGAAGAGCAAGCTGCCTGCTGTTCCTGAGGGTCTGCACTCCTGCTTTAGCAGGAGATCTTATTTGGGTCCTAGCACATCCCACTGTTGGAGCCGAGGGTACCATTCTGAAACATGAACACCTTACCCTAAGTTCCTCACCAGGACCTTGGTCTGGAGATGGATACCAGGTGGTCACAGGGGAGGTACGCTGTACTCATAGCCGACAAACAGGAAGTGTATGTTGTGTTCTCTCAGGCATTCAGGAGTGGGAACTATAAAACCCAAAGTCAAGGGAAGGCAGGCTGTCACCTGTCAGCACTAGCCCAGACAAAGAAAGGCAGGTATAGTAATAACCACTATAAAGACTACAGAAGGACAAGGAACACAGCCACGGCTGGCCAGGTGGATGTGTCATAACCATGCTGGCCCTTTGCCCCTGAGGTCCCGGTTCTCTCGATGTACC